CAATTATTTGTTTTGAGTTGTGTATTCCCAGCTACACCAAAACAATTCTGGGTGGGAGTTTTGTCCTAATTTTGTGGAATTTATCTCTATGTCCAGCATTTGTACAGGAGCAAGGAGAGCAGACACACAGCCGATGTGTGGGCTCCAGTGCCCTCCACAGAAACAGTAGAGGGCCAGAGACCAGATGTGCTCAGCATCTGAGGCTGAAGGAGAGGAGGGTCGCTCCACCATGGCTCTGGTTCAAGACCCAGATTTCCTTAGCAAGAGAAACCCCTCAAAAGAGGGAAGGCCTGAGGGGCATCTTTGTAGCAGAGCAGACCCAGGCTCTGTAGCACTGACCCAGAGGGCTGGCACGAACACGGCAGTGTCTGTCAGCCTGGCAGTGTCTGTCAGCAGTAAGGAGACAAATTCAGCGCTTAGGCCGTGCCCAGCAGGTGCTGCCAACCATGACCCTGGACTCTGATTTCTCTCTCTCTTACTTTCCCCTTTCTTCCTCTTCTGCCTTCCTTCTCCCAGCCCTCACTGGCTTACCCCTGCCTGTGGGTGGTTCCCCAAGATGGATGAAGCAGGTCAGGGGAGAGGTCGGAGTCCTTGCCTTTGATTGCGTCAGTTCTCTGTGGGGAAGTCAAGGGTGGGACCCTTCAACCTCCAGGCCCACATTTTTCTTTCAGGCACTACTCAGGGTGGGGAATAGTCAGTTGTAATTCCTAGTATCCATTCGAAATCAGGAGAAGTTTGTTTCCCTCTTTGAAAAAAAATTATTTTTTTAGTGGAGCCTGGGTGGAAGTGAGAAGTTAGATCTTGGGGTTAGGGCACAATTCATTTTGCACTTTTGATTGCTAAAATGATCCATATTTCCCATGAGCAGCAGCTATGAGATCTCATAAGTGCATACTGTTGACCATGCTGCCAGTTCATTCCTTGCCTCAAGTCTCAAACTGGGCCAAGTCTGAGAGTGATAGACAATTTACAATTCTGAGCATGGCCCCATTGGTTTGAGAAAAGGTCGGATTCCCAAATCTCCTAGCTCTTTTATCTATCTTTTCTCTTCCCCCATAACCCAGCACCAAGGTTTATCCCTGATCTTCCCAACTCCCTCTCAACCTCTCCAACCCTAACAATAATCCATCATTGTTATCTCATTCGGTGTTTACAAAGCACTTTACAGCTATTGTTGTGAGTTTTTCCTCTTATTTGCAAAGTACTTTACAACTATTATTACAAGTCTTTCCTCTGAATGTAGGGTAATGCTGACCCACTTTGGAGAGATGGCTTCCCACCGCCTTCTAAGTGGCTGGACCAATTCCCATGATGCCCAGCACCGGTGGGTGGGGCTTTCATAAGTCAAGGGCATAGCTGTGCCCTTCCAAATTAGGAATCAGGCTTAGAAACTGGCTTCAGGCAGCTGCCCACTTGCCCTCCCATTGTTCCACACCCCTGTGCATTTCTAATGAGGGAATGAGAGGTGCTTGTTAAAACCAGGGCTCTCACTGCCAGATGGTAGTGCTGTTTGGGGTTCACAGCCTGTCGCCTCTCGCTCCCCCCTGAGTGGGTGCTAAGCAGCAGGGTTTGAACTTCTTACTCTCCTTCAGTCTAAGGGAGAAAAATATGTGTCAAATGTAAGAAAGTAAAATAGCTCCTAACTCCAGGGTGAAGTGGGAGTTGCTTGAGATGATCAAAAATGTGTTTTGTTTTTATTTTTATCGAATTTTTAAAAATAAAAAGTTCCGACATTGCAGATTGGAGTTTTTTTAAAAAAGAAAAGTCCGCACAATCTAACTTGCCTAATAAAAGTTCCCTCCTGGTGGTCTTAGCTATCATCACAGTATATATGGCATTTTGTGTGCCACGTTTTTCATTAACACGGGGTAAGCATTTTCCACTTCTGTTACATCATCTTAGTAATAATTATGTACAATTATGTAATGGTTCATTGAGTAGGTTGGCTGGCAAGATTTTCTGGTAGAAAATGTGGAAACTTGTGCAGATTTGGAGGTGTTGCGGGTTGTGGGGAGACATGGTGTGTCCGATAAGGTGCTTCTAGGAAGCACGGCTTTGCCCTCCCTTCCAGCTCTTTCCTTTGGCTGCTGTTATAACACCTGCCCCTTCAAGTCTGGGTGGGACTTCTGTCCTTCCTGCCCTAGACAAGAAGTCTCTGCCACCCAAATCCCCAACTTGGTTAGGGATAATAATGAGTAACAGCGTTACTCATTATTGATATTCTGGCCCAATTTGCCCAAATAGGTCATTAGCATTCTGAGACTAAGTCTCCCTTTTAGTTGCTGTGACATCTGAGAACTTAAATAGCAGATGCTCAGTAAATATTTGTCAATGACAAATACATATTTGCCAACTTCCACTGCTTTCCCCGGCCGGTCAAATAGTTGCTTGACTGTGTAACCCATTCTGTGAGGCCAGAGTGGAGTTTCTAAGGCAAACCTTTGTGTTGGATTCTCAAAGCAGCATAAGGCCAGTAAACTGGTAGAGGTACCTAATTGCTAGGGGGGCTATTTTGATGAGATTCTGTCCCTGTGTATAAAACAATAAGTGTGAAGAGAAAAAGGAATCTTCTGTCCAAAAAAGAGGGGCAGATTATGAGATTTTTGTCTCTGGAAACATCTATAGATAAACCAGGACATAGGAAAGAAGCTGATTTGCTTATCTTTAAAAGACGAGTGTGAATTTTTACCTGCGAGAAATATATACTGAAATATTTGTGAATGAAATGATAGAATGTCTGAGACTTTCTTCAATTACACAAGACAGAGGAAAGTGGGTAAAGGTTGGTATACATGAGAGAAGATTGGCTACAAATTGTTGGAAGCTAGATGATGATTAAATAAGAGTTCATTTTTATATTCTGTCCACTTTTGAATGTTTAAATTTTTCCATAATGATAAAAATATAGAATAAGAGGGTCCTGCTCGGTTTGGACTAGACATCTAAAAAGGTCCTCCATTCCCAAGCATGATTTAGACTAGAATGAAGAGTCTTGGTTCAATTTTGAGGCTGTATTGCCATCTAGTGTTTACTGCTAGTACCTAACAAAATGATGACATTGCAAGCGCCCTTCCTGGGACTAAGGTCCTTCTGTGAACTCTCCTGGCCTTTCCAGTGTCCTCATGGGAAGCCCTGGGCAAGGGCAGCACACGATGACCTGGAGGTGGAGGTGGCTGTGATTGTGCTGAGGGTGGCATGCAGGTTGTTGCTCTCTCCACGCCTCTTTCAGGCTTGGGGAAGCAAGCTGTGCACGGGAATAGCCATTTCATGTGCCGCTGTGCAGGCAGGTGACCTTGCTGGAGGGTTCTCAGTGTGACCCAGGTGCAAAAATAGCCTCTCTTGTGACCAGTGTGTGCTCAGCTCCCTGGCCTGAGCAAACAGCCCCTCACACCTGCATTTTGTTGACTCGGTGTGGACACACAGCTACTTGTTTGCAGGTGCAAATGACTGTTTGTGTACCCAGACTTGAGGGGAGGGCACCCTACCATCTTTTTCATTAGCCCACGTTCCCTTAGAGCAGGTAGCTGGGCCACATAACTAGCAGGATATGTGACTTTAAAACCGCAGGGCTGGGTCCTGATGGAAGAAGAGCTCCTAAAAACTCTCCCCTCCAAATATCTCCCCGCTTTACTAGAAGAGAATCCACTCTTGCTTCTGGTAGTAGGATAAGAACAATCTGGACACCAAGGTAGCTGTATTTACAGACAGAAAATTTGAAAAAGATATAATCATTTTTCAAATAAAAAGCAGTGTACATGGAATCAGAGAGACTGCTGGACGCTGTGAGCCAGGCTTTATATAGATCATGGGGATGAGAAAATTGGCCCAGTCGATTTCACCGCGGCAACTGAAATGGACATGGTGGAATTTATCAATTGTAAAATTCTATAGACATGGAAGATAAACGTGATGGGGAGGGCAGGGTGAATGAGCGAGTTCAGGAGAGTTACAAATGATGGCAACTTTCCCGTGGAAGTGTGATCAACCCTAAATCTATAATATGTACTTTTATTTTATGTACCAGTAAGCAAGAAAATATGTCAAACTGTGATACATATAGATATATTGAAATGAGAAAAATGGGTTATAGTCTTTTTTTGCAGAGTAGTTTGAAATTTCAGAAACTTTCAAAAAATGTAGTCCTTCTGGCTCATTAATTCTACTTCTGGGGGCGTATGCTAAGAAATAACCAGAAATGCTAAGGTTTGTGTACAAAATGAGCAGTTTTACAAAACAAAAATCAGAAACTGGGTAATGATTAAATAAAAGGTCAATGACAATAGTTAAAGGATGGCACATTTATATGACGGATATTATACTGCACTTAAAATGAGTTTATGAAGAATTTCTAATGTGGGAAAAGGCTTTGGTATTAAGTGAAAGAACAGGCTCAAAATTATATAGGTTGACTTCAGCCAGGCAAAACTATATGTCAATACATATAAAATATTGCACAGTATATAATAGAACAAAATGCTAGTAACACTGGTAGTCTTTGAATTATAGGATTACACGTTTGATTTATTTTATATTATACACTTCAGTGTTTTCTAATTTCCCTAAAGTAAATATTTATTATATTTTTTTTAATGGGAAAAGGGATCTTAACTTTGAAAGGAAAAATAAAGAAAGATAGGAGGTCAGAGCGGAACTCAGTGTTAGGTGAGAATCTCAGGGCTATAGGCTCTGAAGGAGAGATAAGCGACTAAAATCAAGCTACTGGTGGTTGCTCCCCATCTGGCTTCCTTTTTCATGACTAGAGAGGGCCCTGCTGGTTTTGGATTGCGCAGGAGTAAAAATGTCCACTTCCCATGACAGTCCTCTGAGCCCATCCCTCAGGGGTTGAGAGCAGAATGAGGAAGAGCGAGGCCCCCGGGGTGATCCATCCGTCACTCCTTGCAAGGAAAGGGCATTATTTCTTTGGTTTCTAGATTCTCCAACATAAGATTAATGGGAATAAACAAAGAATGACTCCTCTGTATTATTTCCCACCCAGTAGATATGTTTGACGACTTCTCGGAAGGCAGAGAGTGTGTCAACTGTGGAGCCATGTCCACCCCACTCTGGAGGCGGGATGGGACGGGGCACTACCTGTGCAACGCCTGTGGCCTCTACCACAAGATGAATGGCATCAACCGTCCCCTCATCAAACCCCAGCGCCGGCTGGTAAGCAAGTGCCTGGACCACCCCAAGTCCAACAGCCTTGGGGAAAGCAGGGGGCACACCTCTCTCCTCCCGGCACCTGGCTTCACAGCTCCCACCTTGGTCGGAAATTCCCTGGTTTTGAATTTTGGACTTCAAGTCATCTTTGAAAGAAGGTGTGAGTTGAGGGGTTGGGTGTGTGTGTGGCGGGGTGAGGTGGGGGGCAATGTAGTAATTTCTCATATCTTTAGCTACAAGGATGTTCCAGACTGCTGACCTTAAACTAATAGCCAGATATTTCTCCAACAAAATGGATTTATTCTGGAATAACAAAGAATTGCAATTCCGGACATGCAGTCTAATGGCAAACCATGGCAAGTTCAGATGACAAAGGAGAGGAACACTCTTTTATAGAGGGAAGGAGGAGTTCGGAGGGGCTGTTGTAAACAGAGAGGCTATTGGAGGAAACTGGGAGTTCTGAGCATAGTGGCTTCTCCTTGACTAGTTGTGACAGTCTTGCAGGGGGAGGAGAAGACCCTCCTTCTACCTGCTGGAGTGGTGGAATAGAACAGCACCTTCCTGTTGGGGATGGAAAGCATGTCTCCTCTTGTTTGGGGTAACTGATGATGAGTGATATGTCCTGAGAGCTCCCCCTACAGGCCCTCCCAACTGCAATTTAAATGGAGTTTCTGTTAACTGACCTTCACAAGGCCACGTAGGTCAACCCCTTAATTATACAGAAATGAAGAGTGAGGCTCAAAAAAGCTAACGGCTTTGCCTGCAGTCACATGCGAATCAGAGTCCAGACGACCTGGTTGCCAGTGCAGCGCTGTCTTGTTCGTCTCCTGTGTTCACTGCAACCCCATGAGGACAGTCAGCTCTTCCTTTACATATTTTTTGTTATTTGTTCTGTTTTCACTTGATCAACCCAAAGCCTAAGGAGATTAAGCAGTGCGTGTTGGACACACATATATTTCACATATATTAAGGAAGGAAGATCAGTGGGGATAAACCCTGATGTTTCCCTTTCTTGAGTTCCCATAGCTGGTCCAGTCTCTGATGACACATATACGATGATTCCTCACCCACCAACTGTCCCTGAAGCCTACATTAATTCTTTCAAGGGAAGTTTTCTGCCTACAGTGCCTAGTGCTCACTGGGCTTTTCATCTGATGTCAAATGACTGATGATGCCACCATTAAGACTGGTATTCACTCTTCTCCGCAGCAGAAGTCCTGTTCACACACACACACACACACACACACACACACACACACACACACACACTCCTCTCCAGGATTGGCTCAGGTGAGGAAGGGCTCTGGCGCTGTGGCTGGTCTGAGATGCTCACGCCCTGCTGCCCATTCAAGGAGGGCAGCCCCGCGGCGTTCCCTGTGAAGTAGAAGCCTCAGCACCTGCCTCGCTCTTAGATTTGAAGGGCTTGTGTCCTGTGTTGCAGTCCGCCTCCCGCCGAGTGGGCCTCTCCTGTGCCAACTGCCAGACCACCACCACTACGCTGTGGCGCCGCAACGCCGAGGGCGAGCCGGTGTGCAACGCCTGCGGCCTGTACATGAAGCTCCACGGGGTGAGTAGCCCCGCCCCGCGGGACGAGCACCGCGACCGTGTCTGTGATCTTTCAGACTCTTCACTCAGTTCTCACTAATCTTCTTCCCTTCAGAGTATTATTCGTTTTTTTCCTTCTTAACACAGATACTTGGATTTGGAAGGGCCCTTAGAGACTGTCTGTATTAGTCCATTCGGGCTGCCGTAACAAAATTCTACACACTCGGTGGTTCATAAACAACAGAAATTTACTTCCGTGGTTCTAGAGGCTGGAAGTCGGAGATCGGGAAGCCAGCATGGTCAAGGGAGGGTTCTATTCCAGGTCACAGACTTTTCGTTGTGTCCTCACATAGTCCAAGGCGTGAGGCAGCGCTCTGGGGTCTTTTTTTATGAGAACACTAATTGCATTCACGAGGGATCCAGCCTCCTGATCTAATGATCCCTCAAAGGCCCACCTCCTAATACCATGACCTTGGGGGATAGGTCTCCAACATACGAATTTTGGGAGGACAGACATTCAGGCCACAGTAGAAACATTGCTGGTCACTTCCATCTTTAACATTACATAAGTCTCATTCCCATTTTACAGATGAGGAGACTGAGAAATAGTATATATATGTGTGTGTGTATACATATACACATGTATACATATACACACACATATGGTTATATGATATATAACAAAGGTAACAGTTTAATGGATAAAGGATAGCTTGTTTAAGACTATTTCTATTAACATAATGTGGAAAACAAACGCAAAGCTTGATCTCTATCTTTTCCTAAAAATAAAAATAAATGGGTGAATTAAAGATACAAAAATCTAAAACATCTTTAATTAGAGACAATAAAAATATGAGAAGAAAATGTAAGGAGGGGAGTATTTATATAATCTTGTATGTGGAAGGAGAACTTACTTCTTAGGCAAGTTTTCAAAACTCTTAAGCCATAAGATAAAATTTAGATATATTTGATTGTATAACATTTAATATTAGTTTATGGGAAAAGATACCTGAGGAAACTAAAAACCGATACACACATATGTCAGAGAAAGGGTTAATAATTTCAGAATACAGGGAGCTTCTACAAAGCTTTTTATCTTCTAATTAGCAACAATCTCCATTATGTAATGCTAAAAAAAAAAAAAGAAAAGAAAAGCCAGCGCAGACTATTATCCACACATGGCACTATTTTTATAAAGAAAAAAGGAGAACCTAATTTATATGTAGTTGCTTCTATATACATAGGACAACTCTAGGAGGATACATAAGAATCTGGTAGTATGTAGCACGGGTTGCCTCTAGGAAAAGGAACACGGGGGTTGGAGGGACACATTTTTCACTGTGTATTTCCTTTGTACCTTTTAGATGGTATATATGCATGTCTTACTTGTTCAAATATAAGACTAAACACAAGTAAAACAAACAAAAAAGAGATCCTATAGAATAATAAGAAAATGATAATCGATCTTCCGCCCACTTCCCAGAGTGTACAAAAAATATGAACAGACAATTCACAGAAGCGGCTCAGATAGTCACTGAACATATACAGAGGCTGGACCTCACTAAAAATCAGAGAAATGTGAATTAAAACAACCTTGAGATTCCCTGTTTGGCCCAAACGTTTGGCAAAAATTGAAATGTGCGATAATATGTAATGCTGGTATAGATTTGGTAGTAAAGCTACTTTCATACTGCATATTATTGAAAGCAGAGTCTCAAACATTTATTTGTACACTCATGTTTATAGCAACATTATTCGCCATAGTCAAAAGGCGGAAGCAACTCATATGTCCACTGATGGATGGATTAAAAAAATGTGTTATATACATACAAATGAATACTCTTCAGCCTTTAGAAGGAGGGAAATTCTGACACATGCTACAACATGAATGCACCTTGAAGTCATTACACTAAGTGAAAGGACAAATGCTATATGATTCCACTTGTATGAAGGACCGAGGGTGGTCAAATTCATAGAGACAGAAAGTAGAATAGTGGTTGCCAGGGGCTGAGGGGAGAATGGAGAGTTATTTAATTGGGACAGAGTTTCAGTTTTGCAAGATGAAAAGAGTTCGGGAGATGGATGGTGGTGATGGTTGCACAACAATGTGAATGCACTTAACACTACTAAACTGTACACTTAAAAATGGTCAAGATGGTAAATTTTATGTTATATGTATTCTACCACAATTTTTTTTGAAAAAGTAGTGAACTGAGTGGGGATAAACAAGGGGGCAATATTCTTCTGAAGTCAGGATGGGCTTTAAGAGGGCCTGAGTATCCTTACCCTCAAACGCAGGACTGCTGTCTCATCTGACTGGAAGGCAAGTTCAAGTTCATGTATGCTGGTGCCCTTTTCTTAACCATTCCATGTAGAATCCCTGAAGTGGTAATTGCTTTTCTTTCAGTATTTCCAGGTATGGCCTTTATTAATCCTGTATGGGAGACCAGGGACTAAAAGATTTGGTTGGCCAGGCCTAGAAGAAACCAGATGTGCAGAAGGAGCAATATTTAAAAATACTAGAAAGATGAAGGCTCGCTCCTCAGACACTTGTTTTGGCCTCTGTGAAAGGCTCAAGAGCATGACACCTGACAGTCGCTGCTTATTTATGAGAAGTGAGATGAGATAAAAGTATTGTCCACAGTTTATCTCAGCACCTGGCCACAGGGGCATCTCCAGCATAATCTCTTGCTGCTTCCCACCTCCCATGGCAACACCACCCTTTGCTCCCGTCGGATTCAATGCAGCGAAGAGCTGCTCTAAACAGAGTGACTTCACGTCTTGACTCACCAGGACTGTCCGAGTTCATGCCGTTTTCTTGGCATAATTATATAAATAGCACCCCCTTTTCACTTTTATAGTGTCCTGATGTGGCCACTATAAATGCCCTCCCATAGTGTGCGTGTGCGTGTGTGTGTGTGTGTGTGTGTGTGTGTATTTAAATACTGTATCTGATCATTTACAAATGGAAAACCATAGATATTGATTTCTAATCTCCTAGGTTCCCAGGCCTCTTGCGATGCGGAAAGAGGGGATTCAGACCAGAAAACGGAAGCCCAAGAACCTTAATAAATCTAAGACACCAGCAGGTGAGTGAAAGAGCTGTGTGTAATTATATGACTAAGTCTGTAGCCCTCGGAGCGTGTCAGAATCATGTATTCTTAGTGAGGTGGGCCAGCCAAGGCTGCTGAGATATAATAATAGCATCATTTATCCCCAGCTTTTCAGGACAAAATGAATAACCCCGTCAAAAAGTACCATCACCATGGGTCATATTGGGAGCTTTTGAAGCAGGCCCAGTTCCAGCTGTGGCCTGATCAATGCCAGTTGTGAAGACTGCAGTGGCCAGCTGGATTGGTCAAGGGCCTGAAGGAAAAAGGAACATGACTTGGTCCCCTCCATCTTTGGTGATGCAGCCACTCAAGAACTCCATTCCTTTCAATTCTCTTTGGGCTAACTGGGATCTGGGAGGACAGGGTCCCTTTAGTTACGTTCACAGCACATTGCTTTGTAAGCCAACGTATAATTAACATCATGTAGTGCTTTGTACTTTAGAAAGCTCCTTCACAAATATTCTCTTATTGATCCTTAAAGATCCCCCATAAAACCCGTTTATTACCCCATTTACTAATGAGCAAACTGAGGCTCGGAGAGGGCAGTGGCTTAACCAGAGTCATATAGCTATGAATGGATAGATCTAGAATGAAAACCCAAGATTTTATGTTTCGGGGTCCATACTGATTAATATGCCACTCTGCCCTCTCCGTTTCTAGATTAAGACTGAGGACTACTTATGTCCCCTCTTAAAAGTACTTCCTCCTCAGTACCACTACCAAATTAAAGATTTCACTGTGACATGCTGCAATCGCAGAGAAAATAAATCAGCTAATCTGATAGAGAGTTTATCTTCTAATCTAAGGCATAACGGAGCCAGATAAATTTCCTCTTTCCACTACTGAGAACATGACCAAAGTTGTCGTCTTCCAGATTCAACAAAGGCTCATGTCTTATCAGACCCTCTAGTGTTTTCCATCAGTGGTCCTCCACCTTTCTCCTGCTTCCACACTGTTTATAGGTACATGCATCCCCCAGGGTAGCTTCATCTCTTTACATGTCGCGGTCACAGGAAGAACAAGGCATTTGGTTCAGGTGTACACTTCCCTTTCCAAAATTCAAAATCAGAGGTGCTAGATTTGGCAGAAAAACCTAATCGGAACAGATACAGGCTATTTATAGTCTTTATTTACCCCACTTGTGAAAATTCACATTTTGCTGTAGAACTATTAGTATGTTTATTTTATTTTTCAATTACAATTGACATTCATCATTATTTTTTTAATTAATTTCAAGTGTACAGCATAGTGGTTAGACATTTATACAATTTATGAAGTGATACCCCTGATAAGTCTAGTACTAGTACCCGCCAAAACACTAATTCAAAAATATATCTGCACCCCTATGTTCACTGCAGCGTCATTGACAATAGCCAAGTTGTAGAAGCAACCCAAGTGTCTGTCAATGCACAATTGGATAAAGAAGATGTGGTGCATATACACAATGGAATATTACTCAACCATAAAAAGTGAAATCTTACCATTTACAACAACATGGATGGACCTAGTATTATGCTAAGTGAAATAAGTCAGACAGAGAAAGACAAATACCATATGACTTCACTTAACATGTGGAATCCAAACAAAATAAACTGTTAATATGATTATATATGGGGTGTTGTCCTAGACCTCAATGGAGGTGTTGTTTTATATAGTATAGTATTTGCCCCTTTTAAAATCTGAAAAGTTTTAAATCCTGAGACACATGTGGCTTCAAGGGTTTTGGATAAGGGGTGGCGAGTCTGTCATTTGAAAAAATTTCCTTGAAAATCTCATTTTGGGAACCGTTGCCCTACACTGATGAAAGACTCCTGCTTCTCTCCCCAGCAAATGTAAATAAACCATTAATACGGACCTACCTTGGCTGTCCCAAAGGACTGCCCTCCGTTTGTTCCCTGCCCCTGCTCTGGGTGTCCTGACTCTGCCTTGTTCCAGGTCCCTCCGGCGGTGAGAGCCTTCCTCCCACGAGCAGCGCTTCCAGCAACTCCAGCACTGCAGCCACCAGCAGTGGTGAAGAGATGCGCCCCATCAAGACAGAGCCCGGGCTGGCGTCCCACTACGGACACAGCAGCTCCATTTCCCAGGTATAGCCCTGGCTGGGAGAGAAGGGACGCCCCGTGGGAAAGTAGGTTTCAGAGCACCGGGTGGCCAGGCCAGCACTGGAGCCTGAAGCACGTGGCCAAGGGAGCTGACCACTTCCCTCAGGCCCTCCCCCACCTCGCCAGACTAGGGGATTTATTTCAGCACATCTGATCAAGCTATAGTGATTTAGACACACAACTGTGAGACACACATGTGTGGCAGCTCCTCTGTGCCAGGACCTTTGGAGTCTGGGGCTGGCACAGAATATGACACACAACTACAGCCTCAATCCACTGCGTGCATTGGGGAGGGAGGTACAAGTGCAGCGGGCTGCAGGAGGCAGAGGGTGGGTCGGGCTTTCTAGGCAAGTCTGTCTCCTAAGCGAGGGCTGTTTTGACCTTGGATGGGTAGATTTAACAGCAGGAAGGAGAGGAGAGCCATCTTAGCCTGGGAAGGGCATGGAAATGCAGAGGGCAGGATGCCATGTTGATGCGAGCCGGTTGCGGGCCCAGCTCCGTCTGTGTGTGCAGAAGCTGGGCTTGCAGTCCCCTCACTCCCCTCTTTTGGATATGACGACATCCCTGCGCCTCCACCCCTTCCCTCTGTGGTTCCTGTCATTTGGGATCAGGATGCCCTCAAGCCTGATCACAGTCTTAACTCTGATCACGTATTAACTCTGATGTCTCCCCTGCCTGTACGCTGTACAGGAGGCTGGATAATTATCAGAGCCTTCTGAAAAACTGGAACATTCACAAACCTCCTGGGTCGCGTACTGCTCAGAAGCACCCGATGAACCACGCAGCCCCTTTGCATCCCATAGCACGGGGGTAGCGAAAACAAAAGTGCCGGGGTCCCTTGTCCTGCCCTTGTCTTTTGGCCTTCTCTTCTGGTGCCTCTTCGAGGGGTGGGAGCCAGCCTGGGGACACCTGCATGACGGGGCACCCCTCTCGGCCCAGACCTCCCGCCCGAGCCCTCGGGAGCGATTCCATTGACCTCTTCTTGCACTTCTGCTTTCAGACGTTCTCAGTCGGTTCGATGTCTGGCCACGGGCCCTCCATCCACCCGGTCCTCTCGGCCCTGAAGCTCTCCCCACAAGGCTACGCGTCTTCTGTCAGCCAGTCGCCTCAGGCCAGCTCCAAGCAGGACCCTTGGAACAGCCTGGCCTTGGCTGACAGTCACGGGGACATAATCACTGCGTAATGTCACCTCCCTTCCTCCTCAGATTCCTGCATGGACTTGCGACTTGGAGAACAGCAGAGCCGAGGCTCTGGGCTCCCAGCGGCCGGCCTGCTCTGTCTGGGAATGACTCCGGAACAACAACTGGGAAGAAACTTGAAGTCGACGATTTGGTTAGGGGAAGTGGGTGCTGCATTTCGTCAGATGCCTTTTCAAGGTGGGCGGCTGGAAGGAGCCCAGACTCTGATCTGGAAGCGCCCACCCTTTGCTAGGAGCACACTTAAGTCCCTTCTGTGGAGTTACAGACTTTTTCTCATTTTCTGCCCCACTCCACCCCTGACAAGAGATGAGAAGTCCTTCCCCTGCCTTTCCACCACTATGGCCCAAGATGGTGGTTTTTCCGCTGAGTTCCCAGCACCCCGGATCTGAGGGCAGGTGGAGCGTCAGGGCACTGGGACCCCTTCTCCAGCCTGAGCCAGGGCACCTGTTTGACATGCATTTGGATGTGACAGGCCCCTTCGGGCATCAGCTACCTTTGCCCAACACTCCCCTTCAGGCTCTGCACACCCCCTGCATTCCTCAATACTGAATCTTGACTCCAGAGATGTCAGGCATACCGCCGGTGTCACTGGGTGCTCCGTAGGGAGATGGAGGACAGGCGGTGTCACCCACCACAGGGGGCTGCGTCGGCAGAGTTGCAGCTTGGAACTTGGCCTCCCCACGTTCCCTGTCCCAGCTCACAGCCTCGTCGCTCTCCTTCTCTTCACCCCAAGGCCTCTGAAACTAAAAGCCCCTTCCAGTGCTCTGAGCAATTTGGCTCTGCCTTCAGCCTGGACGTGTCCCTTCCTCGGCAAAACAAGAGCTCCACAGATTAGCCAAACAGCAGCTCCCCTCAAGCTCGTCCTGCCCCCCCAGTCCTGCCTCCACCCCATCCCACACACGGGGTTCTGAGTAAGAACAAAATAGATCCTGCTGCTAAAGCAAGTTTGACTGGTACCCGTCTAAGACTGGAGGGAGATCCTTCCGGAGAGACTGCCTGGTGGACCCTGTCTGGGGCTGGGGCTGGGGCTGGGGCAGGCGCTGTCTGGGGAGCTGGGGAGGCAGGATTCCCCGGGGATGCTGACTCGCTTGCCCTCGGATCTTGCTGATGCCCTGGTTCTGCCGAGGGGCGCCTCTCTGCCACGAGCGGAGGACCCACACCTGCGTCCTTTCTCCAGGAGAAATCTCTCGTTCACAAGGTGAAAAGCAACATACATTCAAAGCAAACAAACACAACAAAACAAAACTCATGGAAAGAAGGACGGTGACCAATAGAAGACACGGAGGTGGCCGGGGGCTCTAGAGCTCTGTGCTGGTCTGGAATTGGCCACTTTCTCCTCTCCATGTTGCCGTTTCTTCATGGGGCTCACGAAGACTCCTTCCATGTCCTCCTTATCGACAGAGCTGTAGCAGACTGTGGCCTTACTACGTCCTACCCCAAAACACCTGGCCCCCTCAACCAAAAATCCTCTAGGCTGTAGCAGAGACTATCTCTAAACCAAGATTCTGTTTTAATCATTTACATTGCTTTCTTTCATGAAGGCCATATACCTTCCCTACCCCACAAACCTGTTAACATTGTCTTAAGGTGAAATGGCTGTAAAATCAGTATTTAACTAATAAATTTATCTGTACTCCTCTTTTAAATCAATCAATCAATCAAACAGAAGCTTCGCTGCTGCCCTCTGCAAGGCAATCTTCAGCCACGGAGGCTCCTTCACTGATCTGCTCACAGGCTGCATCTAAAACCATTTTCTCCCTTCATTTATTTTTGGCAGTTGGTCAGGACTTCCTCTGTAAGTGATGGTGACTAGCGAAAGGAACACATCCTGGCCCTGCTACTGAATAGTTTTTGACCTTGACAGGTAAACTCTAGCCTTTGGTTTTTTAAGAGAGGGTTGGACCAGCCATCAACTACAGTCCCCGTGGCCCAACAGTTGTCACCCAATGAGGGAGGGCCATTTTTAGAGCTCCCCGTGGGAACACCGGAGCTGGAGCATGAGGCAAACTGTGGGGCAATGATCTCTCTAGCCCATCTGAGTTCATGCACGTGCTGGAGGGGCCCCCAAGGTGTTCTCCCACTTCTCCACTTCCCGGTTCACTTATCCTTCATGGTCTGGTCCAAACAAGCCCTCGAGGGGTAAGGGATGCTCCCCACCAGTAGTAGAAGAGATGAAAACTTCCGCCTTATTTGTCTATGCCTTCCTAGGCCACAGAATTGCATGATTGCTTCATCTTAAAAGTGGGGTGGGGGTGGAACTTGGCCTCTCCAGTGCTCCGAGCAATTTGGCTCTGCCTTCAGCCTGGACATGTCCCTTCCTCGGCAAAACAAGAGCTCCACAGATTAGCCAAACACCCCCTGACTCGGAACCTGTGGGAAGGGACCCAGAGAAGCAAATCCGCTCCACTCAGAACTGTTCGTGGTGGCTTCTGTCTTCTCTCAACTGACTTATGCCAGACCCATTGGGCAACTGGTAGCCTTTGACTTTTCTCGGCACCCCTGTAATGTTTGAGCAGGTCAGAAAAAAAACTATAACGACCATTCTTCTGTGTAAATCAGAAAAGCTTTTACATTTGCTGAAGAATAACCAAACCTCTTAAACGTAGTGACCATCCACAAGGATGTGTGGCAGGTAACTTTAGCAACTAAGAGTAACAAAAGGGCTCAAGACCAAAAATAAAACCTACCAGCATTTATGTTGGCCGTGGGAAGCACGTTTTCTGATGATGAGGTCTTTGCTGGAAGCGCTTTGCCACTTCCATTTAAGAATGACTTCCAGGACAAAATTATATACAATACCGGAAAGCTGACCTCGTTCTTTACATAGTCATAACTTGTGCTTTACCCCAGTTGGTATAATCCAGCTTGATTCAGCTTCTTTGTTCACAAGACTTGGTTGCTTTTCCAAATAGAATGTATCCTCAGAGGACATTGATTCTGATATGCAATTCCCAGATGGTTGGGAAGTGGCTGGGAGAAGGATGTGGGAGGTGGTAGGCTGGCAACGATGGTGTCATCAGAATAAATGTCCGGCTTAATCTGGTGAGTGAAGCAGCCAGTGTGCCTGTATCCAAGTTAAGAAATCATCCACATTCCCTTCCAGGCTCACCTCTTGCTATGACAAAATCTTCTGAAGCACAAGTCAAATCATTTTAATAGTTGGAGAGCATTAATCTTTAATATTTTATTTTTGAATGCCTTTAAGGGTGAGTAGTAGCAGATTGAGCTGTGATTATGTTTCATTTGGGTTGACAGTAGTGAAAATAAGTTTATGCTCACTGAATATATATGCATATATATATGTAGGGTGGTTTTTATTTTTAAAAAAGGCTGTGTTTCCCCCCAAATCTTTAAGGGAAGACAGACCATTCCAAGCAGATGCTTTGGAAAGCATCTACCAAGAAGTTCTGCTTACCTCTGGCCCAGGGGGGACACACAGCCCCTGTTGGGAAGCAAGAGGCAGTGAACGTGTTGTTACTCTGCAAAACTAAGAGTGTGGTAAAGAGTCTATGGAAAAGGCACCTGCCTAGGGTCAAAGAGTTTGTTAGCAGCCTGCTGTACTTTAGCCCCCGCTCCCAAATGACCCTTGCTTTTGAGCTGGGCCTCCAAGGTGCTCACTGGCAGACATGAGAAGATCAGCACATCTGGTCGGAGACCCGAGGTGTAGGAGACGCATGGGATTCTTCCATCACTCCACCCAAGTCACCCTCTGGCCTACAAAACGCTTCCTTGGAGTTGGGGGGTGGGATGGGGTGGCTCCAGATCCACAATTCAACATGGTCCCTTCTCATCCCAGAAACCCAGGTGCTCCTCTCTGAGGCCTCAGCTCCCTCCTGCCTTCTTAATGTCAAAGCAGACTTCTGAACTGGAGTGAACATCTTCATGTTTGGATGATCCTCCTCACCCCACAACCCAGAACTTGACACACTGACTAGGATGCTGAGAATGGCATGAGAAACAGCCGTTCGGAAAGCTCTTTTGGAGTGGAGGTGGTTTGGTTTGGGTTTTTTAATCATTTCCTGACATTGGACACAATGCTTCAGAGTGCATCCTTGCCCTGCTTGAAGCTAGAACACAAAAATGCCATCATCCTACCAAGGACAAGCCTCAGAGCAACAGGGTTTAGCCTGGGAGGTGGAACCTCCAGGAATCTGTTTCACTGAGGTCTCTCTGAGCCCGGACACTTGTTTTCATTCCAGGTACCGATGCCTCTGACCCGCAGCCTCCTGGCAGTGCGGCTGTCCTTTACTCCTTTACCACTCTGATTCCAGTGTGACTTTTTTCTTTCATCTAGTAGCTGCAGTGATAGCACTGCAAACAAAACAAAACAAAACAAAAAACTATAACACGGAGAACTAAATAATCCAAGCAAAAATGACATTAAGACAGATCTACTTAGTTTTTCAAAGTCCAGTTTTCTTTTGGTCTGTGCATTGCTAGCTTACTCTTCTGGCTGAAGCCTGGGAGATGGTGGGTTCAATTTTATGGAGAGAGCTGAGCACACAGCTGTGCTCTGGCTTAACAGCAACAGAAGGATCCTCTATAACACGGAGAACTAAATAATCCAAGTAAAAATGACATTAAGACAGATCTACTTAGTTTTTCAAAGTCCAGTTTTCTTTTGGTCTGTGCATTGCTAGCTTGCTCTTCTGGCTGAAGCCTGGGAGATGGTGGGTTCAATTTTATGGAGAGAGCTGAGCACACAGCTGTGCTCTGGCTTAACAGCAACAGAAGGATCAGGAAAAGTCTGTGAGGCCTCCATGCTCTTGGGCCCAGGCTGTAGAAGTGGTTGCAGGCCCTACATGGGGAGGTCTCTTCCTGAGGGAAAGGTGAAAAATGGGACCCCCCCTCCACACGCACACACTCCCTCACACACACTCCATCCCCTCCCTGCTCTCTGGTGATTGCCTTCTGTCCCACCGTGGTGGCCCCAATTCACCTGAGAAACAGATGTCTTCCTATTGGGTTTCTAAGGGATTTTTAATCACTGGGAAGTTACAAATTCCTGACCAGAGAATCTGATCAGGAGTTAATTCAGAAGCTCAATACTAGTAGACAATACTAGCAGACGCCTCTCACAATGACTGTCGTGTCTTGTGCTATCTTCTCTAAAATGGATTTGCTCAGATGAAATGAATTGTAATTAGAGACGTAAAAAATTTAGATTTATCATTCCTCCTCTGATTAGAGTCCCATGGAATTAGGTCTAGCATCCCGGACTGTGGGCCAGCAGCTCTGAAATCCTGAGTTGGAAGAAAGTGGGTCCCTTCTCTCTGAGTCTTACATGCTTGTCAGTGCAGATGAAACTTCAGGGCCCCAAGACTGGAAAATTATCCTTCTCGAGACTCCCGATTGCTACTCTCCAAGAGGAAAATGATCTTTATTGTGACCTGAGTAATGAGGTTTAAAGGGTTTCAGAAGCTGTACCTCCAAATGAGAACTGTCTCTCAAAGTAGTCACCAGTATTGCAGCCATTGCAAAAAACACGTTGGCACGCCCTGTAGAACCTCCTGATGTTAGCCTGAGAGAACCAGGCTTATCGCTTCTTAGCCACATCTAGTTTGGGGCCCAAAACAGAATTATATCACTTGACCAGTTTTTGTCACCACTCTTAATTCTAAGTGCCCCTTCAACATATAGAAACTTGTTATCAGTGAAGAGCTATTGAAAAATGGTCTCTAGGCTCTGAAAGCCAATTCTAGCAAAGGAAGCAGAAGTGATGCAAAACATTTTCAGGTCTTCTGTGGCTGCCACACTGAAGAGGACAGCCTGTGATGCTTTAGTTCTGGTGCATTTTCTTAAATCCATCAAATGACTGCAGTGTCTTCCTCAATACCCAGCTGCGTTGAGGCTTGGGAGGGACTGCAGATTATGGAACTGGAATACCTCCAAGGCTTCCTGTAGGATCCTGCATGCTTGCATGCTTGAAGTAAGTCATTTCTGCAATTTTGGGACAGTGGTTTTTTAACTTTTGGGGTCATAGACCTCTCTGAAAATGTAACAAAAGCCATGCCCGTTTTCCCAAAAAAGTTCATGTAGCTCGAGGTTTTTGCACACCACTCACTATTGTAGAGGTTTTAGGAACTCTGAAAATTTCTCCATATATCCCACGCTAAGAATTCCTGCTCTTAGGCCTTGGTTTAGTTCAGTGCTGCAAGGCTGTGTTGGTCAAACTGAGCAGATCAGCTCTGTCTAGGGTGTCCTGGCACTTGGTGGGACAAGTTGGGCCCAGAGTATATCTTCCCATTTAGCTATGAAGTCAAACAATTGAACAGTCCCAAGGCAGCTGTCAAGACCCCTGGAACTGCTCTAGGCTCCTGAGAAGTCCTGCAGCCTAAAATCTAGCTGTTCACATGAGGACAGGGCTGAGGAATCCCCACTCCTCACAGGAGGGTAAGGGTCTGGGGTTGATAGGAGTACAGTGGGGTCACAGGATATAAACTGCTAAGGGTTTGGGGAAGTTAGCATTGCTAACGTTTCCAATAACTAGCCTGGAAGAGTAGAATGGGATGGAAAGAAAACTGAACTCCACTAGGAAAAAGGACTGAGAGACCATGCCTCACTCATCTACAGATCATGAGGGGGTCTCAGATATTATCTGGCCCAAGTCCTCTTGTCCCACCACCATCGAGGGAACTTATCCAAGGCCACAGAGCTGACACAAGGAAGAGCGACACTTACTGAGCTGTATCATACCCTCATTAGGGAGGCCCTGAGATTGGAATAAAGGTACTGTCTTGTCTTGCAGTTAATACATTCACCACATGGAGGCACCTGCACTCTCCTACTCTTTCTTGAGCCCTTCAGAATGGAACAGCCTGATTTTTCAAGCAAACTGAGATCAGTCCAGAAATTCTGCTAAAAAAGTACCTACTGCTTATTGAGCACTACCGCACATCAGTTGCTGCTAGTAGCTTTACATATGCACATAAAATATTTGCATATCATCGCAACCACATTTTGCACACAAAGAAGATACTGGCCCACAGATTTTACGTAACTTGCTGAAGGTCACAGAACTAATATGTACAGAATCAGGATTCAAACCATGCCTATTTGACTCCTACCCCTGCCTCTCCTAAAGAGTGGACACCTCAAAGCTGGAAACCCTGCACAGCCTGGGTCTAGGTCCCACTCCGAAATGAAAGTCTTTCAAGGTCTTTGTAGAAACTGGGCAGGATCCTCGGTTCCACGTTCTCCGACTCTCCCAATTTAGACATGATGAAATAAGGACCTGGAACCATTAAGGAATAGGGCTTACTGTACAAAAGAGGAGCAACTGGAATTGACCCAGGAGCCTCTAGAGATATATGAACACTCTCGATGTGATTCAGAATTCCTAAACTCTTCCCTCGGCAATTTGATTCTCCACCGGATCCCACTGCTTTTCTTCTTCACTTCCTTTCTTGCTGTTGTGGAGGCAGCTGTATTTTAATCGATTTTCACATGCATTCTAACTTTAACCCTGTTGGAGAAATCGGGAGTACAAAAGAAGAGAGAAGAACTGGCTCCGTGGCCCTTACAAAGTTGGCCGCTGACTCTCATAGTGCTGAGGCCCAGGCTCCTGTGGGCTTTGGGGTGCCCTGAATCCAGGAGGCAAACAATAATAATCACTAAAATGTTCTGAGCTATTACTTTATGCCAGCCCCAGTGATAAGGAATTGATGTGACTCATCTCAATAAATCGCACAGTAGCCCAGTGAAATAGGCATTTCACTCCATTTTACGAATGAAGAAACTGAGTTACAAAAAGGTTAAATTACCTGTCTCCAGAACAGGCCAGAAATAGGAAGAGGGAGACCAGAAGGCTCTCAGGAGATCCCTCCTGGAAATTCCATGCCCACAAACTTCATCCTGTCTCTCTAGGGCTCCTCAGTGCTGAGGACCCTCTGTACCCAACGCCTCCCCAGCCTTCCTCTCTCCTCATTTCCTGTCCTAGCCCCTTCAGTAGAAGGCCACCTGTACTTCAATCTCTCAGTCAGCAGGACATCACCTGAGGAGGGACTGGCCTGTCTCCCTGCGCTGGCCAAGTTCTCCCCAGGGCCCTCTCAGCTCTTGACCATGGTGCCTGTTCTCTCACGCTGGCTCCTCATCCTCTTTAAAGAACGACGGAACATACTGTTTTAGTCTACTAGTTTACCTTTTACATTTTTTGAAATACAACGTCCGATATACAAATACCACTTTTAAGGCAAATTTGCTTATGGTAAAAATTCAAATAACAATATTCAAATTATATATAAAGTAAAAGATCCCACCCTTTAAACTGTCACGAGAATTTGACAACGTGTTTTCTTTCACAATGACCTCGCTAGGCTTGGAAGCCGAGCAAAATCAACTCAAAGGCTTGCCTTTGCCTGAACCAGCCAAAGTTCTCAGTAACTTATCAACTTTTCTCTATAACCGTTTGATTTTGTAAGACAATACACGTCCCCCTCCGCCCTTCTCCCACTCCCGCCCTTTAACCCCGACCCCCCGCCGTAGCTTTTAGCGGTGTCGACACCTTCCCTGCGGAGAGCTCGCCCCTCCGGGACAGAGCCCTGTGCCCACCCACTGACGTCAGAGCCCCGCCACCTGCGCACCCCCCGAGGGGCGGAGTGTCGCTCTGCACCCGCCCACCCAACACAGCGCCCCGGCCCACCTCCGAGAGCGGAACCTCAAGCTTCTCCCCGCCTCCCACTTTGGGCTCTTAGGACAACGTTCCGCGCCCACCCTTAGGGCAGGTCCCCGCGCGGACGCTGGACGCCCAGTTCTCCTAGCTCCACGCCGCAGGCCGCGGGCCCGGAGCCGGTGAGTGCAGCCGCCCGCCCCTCCGCGGAGCCCGCGCGGTGCTTAGAGGACAGCGCGCCGCCGTCCTCGGTCGTGCGCGGAGCCCCCATCACAGCGCACGGCTTCCCAAGCTTTACCGCCTGCGCGCGTGGTCGTCTCCTGGTTACCGGCAGGAACACTCAATTATGGATCATTTTAGAAGCGTCCCTTACGGAACCTCTGGCCGAATCTTATTTTCGGGGGTATGTTTATCATTGTGCCTCCCTGCCCTTCCCTCCGGGAGGCTCTCCGAGTGCCTTTCAGTCCTGTCTCTGCGCCCACCTTCACCCCACATTGCCCGAAGAAAGAAGGGGAAAGCAGCCATTTTAGACTTTCCCTCCGGCAGTGAGTGATTTGCCAGAAAAGGGAGGACGACGATGACGCCCCTCTCCTCTCCAGCCTTCAGCGTGGTCCGCTAGTGAGCCATCAACCAGCCTTGAGAGAGAAGCCTTGAGGGCAGGCATGGTTCCCCCATCAAAATATGTCCCTTCTGGTTCTAATCTTTTAAGACTATGATAGAGGTAACTAGCCCAGTTTTCTTTTAGTATGCCTAAAAGAAACATGCAGCCAGGTGAGATACTTTAAGGATTAGGTAGGTGCATGTCAGAGAGAGGCTTTTCCAGAAGCTACCTCTGTTGGAGATGACCTGGTCAGAGAGCTGGTTGAGGTTAAGGTCAGTTGCAAGTCTCCTTGCAGCCCAGCAAGTGCCTTGAAGGTCTGATTAGGAGAATTACTACATTTTAGCGACTCTAAAGCACCATCAAATTTAAAATACACATTATCGAATGTGCTTACTAAAGTACGAGAAAGCATGCATTGTAAGGGACATCCCCATTTAAGAGGTTTAAAGATGTGTTTTAATTGCCGAAATACAATAGCCACCACCGTGCCAGGTACCTACTTAGTTCTTCGGGTTTTATGATTACTTATAGAATCTTGTGCAGGAGAAGAAACAGATGGGTAAGTAGTATGCCCTGGGTAAGGGTATGGGGAACTCCTGTGTGGGAGAAGCCAGGGTGCAGACCTTTCAGACTCAAACACCTGAATGCCTCATACACAAGCTCTCAGTGAACTTGGCTGATTGAGGCAGGGAGATATGGAGAGATCAGGGTTAAAGTGGAACCCCAGCTGTTTCTGTTACAAGGGATAATTATTTGTGAATAAGCTGTATGTAGCCTCTCCCTCCTCTGAACCAACATGACCCTGTGTCTGCACTTGTCATACTTCTGAGCCCTGCACTGTTATGGTCACATACACAGCACCCTTACTAGCGGGGTGGTCCTGGGAGGGCCAGATCCACTTCTGTGTCTTACACTCCAGTCTTCTCTACCTTGACAACTCTCCTAAAAGCGGGAAGTAAATCAACTGCAGTGGGTTGGAACAATTGGTTTTGTTGGGGCAAAGAGGGAGGACAGAGAAAGTGTGGAGATGAGTTAGGGGCCACAGTCCAGGTGAAAAATAACAAGGGCCTGCTCCTGTTCAAGCTGCCACAGGATCATAGTGGAGGGCACAGTGCTGGTGCCTAATAAGTGTTTGCTACGTAAAGAAGGGCGAGAGGCTCTGGAAAGGAAAACCATTACTGGGAAGCTGGTGCAGCTGGTCCCCTCTTTAATCTGACCCCCCCCCCCCAGCTACTCCCTTTTTGGCTATATACTGTTAAAATGGGTGGCAAATAAATAAATAAATAAATAAAAACTCGAAAGCTTGGAGCTTGGCACCCATTTGAAATGCCAGAAACTAGCTAAGTCAATAGCCTCTTTGCCCCATATCTGCCTGCAGGGATGCCAGAAGGACCGTCTGTGAGGAAGTTTCACCATTTGATCTCCCCATTTGTGGGGCAGCAGGTGGTCAAGATAGGAGGCAGCATTAAGAAGCTGAACTCTGCTGCCTTCCAATCCCTGTGGCTCCAGGACACCCAGGTGAGTTTATCTGCTGGAGGGCTTGCTCATACCTCACACAGGGGTACAGGCTCTATCAGCACATCCTGTGCCTCCTCTAGAATCCTGAAGACTTTCCATGCCATCACTTCCTTGAGCCCAAGACAACCATGCAAGGACTCCACACAGCTCCTCTTCCTTCGGTCTGGTGTTTCTCAGCCAGAACTGGGCATCGCAGTGGCCCATGGAACCATAAAAAGTATAGATGCACGAGCTGGAGATTCTGGGAGTCCAGAGTGATTCTGATCACTCTAGCTGACTCTGATGTGCACCTTTGGTTGGGAACCGTATTTACCCCCATGGGGCCAGCAAGGTTGTAAGGAAAGAGCATATCTCTTCTGATCTAGGTTCCTCCCGGGTTCCCCTTGGCATGAGCCTTAAGTCAGGCTCACCAGGCTCCTGTGGTCTGACTCATGCCTCCTTTCCCGTTGGCATGAGCCTTAAGTCAGAATTCCTGCAAGGGGCTCACCAGGCTCCTGTGGTCTGACTCATGCCTCCCTCTCTAGCATGCATGCGTCTTACCCTGCCCCAAATCTTTCTTCAATCATATTGAACGACTGTTAAAGCTCCTCTAACAGTTCTTAACCGTGGTTTTGACCTGCTCTCCTGCTTGAGCAAGTCTTCCTTGTTCTCCGAACTCTGCCCCCATTTCTGTCCCCTCATGTTACCTTGGTGATTCCTAGTCTTCTGGGTTTAGCTTTACCATCACATTCTCTGACAAGCCTGCCCTGGGCCTGCTCTGTGCTTCCAGCACACCTACTTTCTCCTGTTGGACCCTCATCGCTAAATTTGTCCTGCCTCTTAAGTGGAGGAGACGGATAAACAGGTTAGGGGCTGTATCCTCATCTATTTTATATTGCTGGCACTTAGCTGAGTGCCTGGCACTTCGAAGGCATATGGTAATTGGCTGTAGAAAAAATAAGTAAGCTCTTTTGCTTCTTAGCTCTGTGCTCCTAAGCATGTTAGTTAATCTTAGCTCTATTTTCTACAGTTATAAAATGGGGATAAACCACCTATCAGTTAAAATTGTTGTATTAAGTAGACTTTATGCCTGGTACATAAGAGTTCTACTTCCACCTTGCCCTTCACACACATCCTCCCCCTCTCCCCCCACACACAGGTTATGATCTTGATTAGAACTGGAAGAGGTCTTGTAGCTCTTCCTTTATGGTTTCTGCATTTGGAGACCAGGGCTCAGAGAGCAGGACAGTTAGCCCAAGTTGACATAGCTAGCGAGGGGCAGAGACTGGAGCTCTGGCTGCCTGACCTCTAGGTTCATGCTCTTCCTATGAGAGCATTTGGACTCTTTGTCCAAGTCCCACAAGGTTTGCATTTGCAGGATTATGTCCCTCTGTCTCTGGCACTTAGCACATGCTGTCACAGAGCTCCTCTCAGAGAATGTTTACTACAAGACTGAGTGGGCCTAAGATGTGTGGCAAGGGAACCTTGAGATAGACCTGGGAGCTGGTTTTCCAGTAAACCAAGGCAGAAACTGGTGCGGGAGCCCTAGAGATCTGAGGGAGGTGGCCTTCTCAGTGCGTCTCTGTCAGTCGGTCCCTGCCCCTCAGGAACTGAGGATTGAATTTGGAAGGTATGTCCTGTATATACACAGGCAAAGCAGTTAGGTCACAATAAATGGGAAGTGGGGAGCATTACCCCAGTGATGGGGGCTCCACCCTCAGGACCTGATCACCTTTCAATGGCCCACCTCCAGATACTGTCATATTGTGGGGGGGACACAAATGAGACAATAAGCAAAGGCTTAGATCATGTTCATTTTGTTTCTAGGTCCATGGAAAGGAATTATTCCTTAGATTTGATCTAGATGAAGAAACCGGGTCCCCTGGCAACAACCCACTGCCAGAGCCTCTAGAAAAGAAGGAAGAGGCCGGGGACCAGAAGCAGACCTTTGGGTGTGATAGCCAGAAAATCTCGGACCAGTCCTCCCGGTCCCTGAATCCTGTTGTCCCCAGTGGAGACAATGGTTCGGAGTGTTTGGGGGGAGACAGCCCTGCAGGAGGTACTGAGAGGTGGCTGCAAGTCCGGTTTGGTTTGTTTGGCAGCGTTCGGGCGAACGAGTTCTCCAGAGCGAAGAAACCAAACAAGAGGGGTGACTGGAAGGACCCCATTCCGAGGTAATCGTGTGGTGGAGTGAACCCCGGGCTATGTCTCTTTGCATCTCTGCAGGGTCTGCCATGTTCAACATGGCCCCCGCTGTGTGGCACACTCAGGGGGTGCACTCAGGTGGCTGTCCCACCGGCTCTCCAGCAACCCGCTTCCCAGGGGAGAGAACGCACTTCTCTGTTTACCCGTCATAGGAAATAGTCTGTGGTCTGTGCTCAGAGGGACATGGTCACCTCCTGGGGCAGCTTCCACGAGAGGGGAACCTTCCCAACACACATGGCCCTGGAGGGCGGGAGGTCTGTGAAGAACGCAGTATGGCTTGACAAGTTACACTCTGAATTTAGGGTCAGAATTGTCCCAGTTTTTAATCTATTTCATGTTGAGACTGCCTTAGCGCATAAACTTCTATCCATGTTTAGGATTATTTCCTTACTGGACATGCATCCTCGGAAGGGTCAGTGCTGGTCAAAGACAGTGAACATTCTTATGACTTCGCAGAAGTGTTCGCTTAGCTGAATTCTCACTAGCATTGGGTTTTTTGTGTACTTTTTATCAATTCGTAGGGGCTTTTGGACTATTGTGTGTCAGCCTTTGTGATGTGTGGTGCCGGTATTGCTTCCAGTCTGTGTCTCTTGGTGGTGTCTGTGCCTGTTGATATTCAGGATTTATAATTTTTAGGTAGTCAATGGTCAGTATTTTTCTTGATAGTTTTTAAGTTTTCCCCCTCTTGCTAAAGAAAGCCCCTTCTACCCAAAAGTCACATTTCTTTTCTATTTTCTAAAGTCTCATAATAATTTTTTATTTTCAGAACTGTAGTCTTTCTTTACGATATGATGTAGGGCCAGTAGTATGCTTTGGACTGTAAAAATAACCCTGGTTGGCGTAAATGGGGAGGAGATTTTTTTATTCACATAATTGGAAGTTCAGAGGGAGGGTGGGCTTTGGTGTTGACTCAGTTGCCAGCTTTTAGCTTCATGTTCTTGTGATTTTCCTGTCTTTGCACTTGCCCACATATTGGTTTTGTCCTTAGACCAACAGGCTCTTGAAGTTGCAGGCCCTATGTTGACACAAGGAAAGAGAAAAGAGGAAGAGAGAGGGTCAATTTTGGATATTCAAATGAGCAAGGAGAGCTTTCTCAAAAACCCCTAGCAAACCTCTCATTGCCTGAAGCTAATGCCTGAAACAGTCTCCAGCTATGGGATCTACATGCTCTTCCACCAATAAGGCCCACCCCTAGATTTTCGAATTTATTTTCACAGAGTTAACACATATCATTTTTTAAATCTCTTCTTGTCACGTTATGTCTCCTTTCTCACTTTTCATGTTTTGTGTATTGTGTTATCTCCCCATTTTTTTTCCTTAATTAGGCTTGTGAGAGTTTTTTCTACTTTGGTCTTTCAAATAAATAATATTAGTTCATATACTCTAGGAAATACTCTTTCACAGAGATAATTTTCCAAAAGTATGAATGTTTGGAGTCATTGTTTTGTAATTCTTTTTTATTAGATTATGGTCAGGATTATGATCAAAGCCTGTAAATTTTCTACTTTTGGCATTAAGATTTGTAGCCAAACACATAATTGATCTTTGCTTATACTTTATATACATAAGTGAAGAAAGTATGCTTGTTAAAAGTAAAATATTCTGTAAATATTAAGAACAGGTTATGGCTTTGACGACTCAAATTCTCTCTGTCTTTGCTTATTTTTTGTTTACTTAATACACCAAACTTGGGAAGAGGAGCATTAAAGTCCCCCAGGGTATTTTCGTGGTTTTATAAAGTTGTTCCGTGTCTTACTAAGCATTTTTGTTTCCGTGTTTTGCTGCCCTGCCGTCCCAGGCACTAAGGCCCTGACTCTCATAGGTTCTTTGCAGCTTCATTGTTGAATAACATACCTTCTCTTTGCCTTTGGTCTTGAATTCTGCTTTTCTTAATAGTGCCACTCTGTGTCCTGCTAGCCCACCCTTCGATCTTTTGTCACTTAGTTGTAGGCATGTTTTTGCACTTACTTTGGTATGTTTCTTATAAACAGTGAAGCAGATGTATCTCTTTAAACTCAAACTGAAACTGGTTGTTTTGAAGTGAGGTATTTGGATTTTCTTCCATTTGCCATTTTATTATACCTCGTTTCTTTTGTTGGATTTATCAAGTTTCTTTCTGCCTTTTTTACCCATGTTTATTTGGAAGTACTGCTGTTTATCTTCATTCCATTGTAATAATCTTGTCTTTAAATCATCCATGTATTTTTTTCTAAGTTAATAACTATCAAATTCTTAATAACATTAAATTAATAACTCTTCTCCCTTATTATTGAATCTGGATTTTTGCTCACTCTCCTTCACTCCTCTGAGATAAGACCTTTAAAATATTTCTACTTCACTCTTTCTTATCTTTCATATCCACCCTATTTCCCGCATTTGCTGAGATAGCTTAGAATTTTAGTTTCAGATTGTTAATTAACTATATTAAGTTATTAACTATGTATAATTAAACTAGTTAATATTAAGAACTAGTTAATATGAAAATAGGCATCTTTCGTTTCAAGAATTCTTTCCTAAAACTTGTGTCATAGTTGTCAGTTGCACCATCATGATTATAATCCATTCAGATCTCATAATAAATATTACAAAATCCAACACTGCTCATTGTGTCCCATCATTTTCATTTCCCCCTATCTTGAAATCCTCACTGATTTAATTTCCATTGGGTATGTATTTTTCCTTGAGTAATTAATTACCTCAGATACTATGCATGGATGTTCTTCTGAGTTCCTGTTCCTCTACAGTCATCCTTTTACTTTAGCGTAAGTATACCACCTAGGTCAGGTACATGAATCTTATTCTCCTTCTGATGTGGAGTCCAATCCCGGCCCGATTATCTTCCTTTACAGAATAACCTATTATTTCTGTCTGTCTATTTGTTATTTTTCAATTACAGTTGACATTCAATATCATTTTATAGTAGCTGTTGTTTCTTAAGGTTTTTTTCTCTGTCCTTGGAGTTCAAGAAGGCCATGGGAGTATGTGCTGGTGTGTCTTTCTCCGTAAATCTTGAGACTGGGAGTGGTACCTCTTTAGCATCCATCTATCTGTCCTTCCTGTGAAGCCCTGTTTTTGTGCAAGTAGCCACACTTCCTGAACTTTAGACCTTTTATATATGTCCCAAGTTGTCTTTAGTGAACACTTATTATTATTATCAGTAAAATGAAGGGCTATATATATATGTTTTCTTTTAATTGCCCTGAAATCCACGTAGCCCTGAAATGTTTATAATTGTGGCAGAGCCATCCCTTTTGTCTTTTGGGACCTTAGTGTCCCCAGGTTAATCCTTACCGTGCAGTGGGAGCTGTATGGACGTGTGATGTGACAATACTGTTGTAACCATATGCACTTCTGATCTTTTCTTTCTTCCTAGGTTGGTGCTGCACTTCGGCGGAGGCGGCTTCCTGGCATTTTACAATTGTCAAATGTCTTGGCATTCTTCCCCTGTGCTCAGACCCACTTCTGACATCTTGTCTGAAAAGTTCCATCGAGGACGAGCCTTGGAAGCTCTGGGCCAGGAGCAGCCTGTCTGCTATACACTTTTGGACCAAAGATACTTCTCAGGCTTAGGTATGACTGATGGGAAAGGGATGAGCCCCACAGTGTTATTTAACAGAAAAGTCACTCGGCTGAGAGGCACAAAACTGAGACCCACCCCAAGTATGAGTACTGCTAGTCTTGAAGTGATCACTTAATCTCTTTAGCTTCAGTCTTATTTTTAAACTGTGGGAATTAGATTAGGCAATTTCTAACTTCCCTCCATGTTTCAGAATTCATACCCTAATTCCGTTATCAGTTGTAGTCTGCCTGACAGCCACATTACTGTGTATCTTCTTAAAGCGCAGGGGTCATGTCTCGTCTGCTCTTGAATCCTCCACTGCCTAGTACAGTGCCTGGCACACCGGAGGTGCTTGAGCAGTGTCTTAGGAACCAAAAGCCATGCAATTTGCTAATGGAGAGCAGTGCATTTGCTAACGGGGGCCGCTCTTGGGCAGATGGAGCTGCCTGCTGGTCAAAGCAGAGATGTCTGCGGTCTACATAAGGATCTTATAAAACACAAGTGAAGAAACGGATTCCTGCTCCCTGTCCAGATGTCTTGAGCAAACTGTGAGCATTTTGAGGGAGGGTGAAGAGCTAAGTGATTTGAAAACTAGGGTGGCTAATTGGCTGGAGTACAAGAATATACCGTTTTTATTTCCCACAGTGGGGCAGTACGTGCACCTGTGATTGGCTATTGAGGCAATTGGGTGAGCTGGTGATGGCAGTCACCTCCTTCTCCAAGACATGATTTTGTCTGCTGTAGGCACAGCTCACCTCATGTTAGGACCAAGGGAGCCCCTGCACCTCGAGGAGCAAAGGGCCTTCCAGAAGTGGTCTTTAGGATATTTATAGCAAGAGCTAATGCCCTGCTAACGAATCATTATTCTTAACAGTAGTAATAACAGCGAACATTTTTTCAAGTGACTCTAAAGTGCCAGGCATATGGTTTCAACCTTACTGCTATTTCTGTAGGGGAGTTACTTACTAGTTTTTCCTTTATTCAGATGAAGAAACTAAAGCAGAGGACATGTCGCTAGTAAGTGGTACAGCCTGAGATAAGAATCCAGGTAGTCTGCCAGTGAATTTTAGAGAGAAATTTTGTATGTGGCTGTGAGTGTGATTATGCAGCTCTAGAAAAGGGCAGTAATTTCATCCATTCACCCCATACATGCTGAATGCTTGCCTTCTGCCTAACCCAACCTTCTCTCCTTAAGGAGATTATTGTTTAATGGCCTGATAAGCCTGAATCAGGCCACCATAACTTGAGATAGACTGTAATAAATGCCTCGCAGAGATTAAAGAAAGTACACGGTTAGAACATTCTGAAGAGAGTTATTGATTCTGGAAGGAGGGATCAAGGCTGGCTTTACAGAGAATGAGGCAGGAATAGAAAAATAATAAAATAATACCTCCTAAACACTTTTTTGTATTTCAGGCATTATGCTTGATATTTTAAATAATAATCACAGCTAATACTTATTGACCACTGTGTGCACCAACCACTGTGCTCAGCATTTTTGGGTATATGTCTGTGTGTCTGTGTGAATTCTCATTTACTTCTCACAAAAACCAGGTAACTTATCCTAATTTAACAGATAAGGAAACTGAAGCCTAAAGAAGCTAAGGAACTTGCCAGGGTCACACAGCTAGGGTCTGGTTGAGCCAGGACTTAAATCCAGGCAGTGAGGTTCCAGAGCCTGTTTTGATAACCATTGTGCTTGCTATAACATGGGCCGTGCATGAGTTTTATTTCATCTTCACAACAACCTTAAACGTAAACATTACCAAGCCCATTTTGCAGATAGGGATATTGACTCGGAGATTATGTGACTTACCCAAGAGTCATTGGTGCACAGCAGAGCTGGCTCCGGGCCTTGCAGAGGCCCTCCCCTGCCGCCGTCACACCAGCTTCATTTACTTTATTAACTTTGTGGACTGGTTTCATTGTGAATGTGTCCTTTATTCTTCCCTTGTCCTCTTCCTGCTTTCTTTCAGGGAACATCATTAAGAATGAAGCCTTGTACAGAGCTGGGATCCATCCCCTTTCTCTTGGTTCACTCCTCAGTCCTCCACAGCTTGAGATCCTCGTGGACCAAGTGGTGGAGTTCAGTGCACACTGGCTTCAGGGCAAGATGCAGGGCACACAGCAGCACACGGAAATCTACCAGAAAGAGCAATGCCCTGCCGGGCACCAGGTCATGAAGGAGGCCTTTGGACCTCCAGGCGGCTTCCAGAGGCTCACCTGGTGGTGCCCACAGTGCCAGCCCAGGCTGCCACCTGATGAGCCAGAGCAGGTCCAGCTCTCCTAAGGTGCTCAGGCCCCTTCTTCACAGAGCCTTTGGAGACCATGATGCCTGAGTGCTGAGAAGTGGGTGTGAGCAGGGATTGGGACTGGGTATAGAATGGAATTTGAGGGGCAGGGTGAATCAGGGGCGTGTCAGTCCCATTAATATTCATCTCACTGAAGTTATGTCTGAGGCAGAGTTTCCACAGGGTTAGATTTTTTTTTTTCAAATGTTGGTAAATTCTTTTTCTCTAAGATAAGAGTCATGAAGATAGTCAAGGCCAAACCCTCTCAGACGACAGTAGGGTAATGAAAATGAAACCCGTGGAAAACAGCTGTGCCCCAATCTTGCTCTGTTTGGTTTGGTTCAGTTTTTGAAACATTGTTTGGTTTAAGACTCTCCATTTGAGAAACAGGAACATAGAATTGTCTTTCTTCATCCCTTATCCAGGGATGAGGACAAAGTAGCACAAGGGTTGTGCCGAGATCCAGCCTCCTGCCTGGGTCTTTTCCTTTGGGATGGAGACACCAGGAGAAAAGGTGGGGAGAAGAGGGGAACCAGGGAGTTGGCCATCTTCCTCATGTACCCAATAGGCTTTAGGAAAAAACTGCTTTCCTCCTGATATATTTGTGACCATACATGGAACAATGCAGGAATCAAGGTATGTAAAGACAGTGTCCTGTTAGCAATAGCTGGAAGAAACTAGGACGTGAAAATAAAAGCTCTTTGTTATTTTCTGTTGTCATCCTGTATTTGGCAGTAATGGTTCTTACACTGTAAAGAATGAGCTCTTTGTGAAGGTGGCCACTTCAGATTTGTTGCAGTGGCTCGGTGGAGTCACTTAAAAGGGCAGGGCAGGGAGAGGGGGTGTGCAAACTTTTAGTTTGCTCCAGTGTCTCCAAACCTTGTTTTACCTTGGAACTCATTTTATCTTTACTATTCCTTGGAACACTGTGTAGAAAATGCTATTATAATGCACGAGGATCCAGATCTTCTCCAAGCACCCTCTGAGTCTGTGTTCAAATGTGCCTCACTGCTCTTTTCCCTTCAGACCATTGCTTACCGCCGCTATCCACAACCCCTTGTAGTCATGGTACTCTTACCTAATTCAAATCCTTTCTGCTTCCTTCTATCTAATGTAAATTCTTCCTGCTTTCCTCACATTTCCTTTGTGTCACATATTTATATATCTTACACAGTTGTACCTTAGTTACCTATTACTTTACAAATATGCCTATTCTTTTGTACTTTATTAGCTAGGGCTGACTAACAAGATAGCACAGATGGGCTTAAACAACAGACATTTATTCTCTCACAGTTTTGGAGGCTGGAATTCCCAAGAACAAGGTGGCAGCAGGTATGGTTTCTCCTAAGGTTCTCTCCTAAGGTCTTTCCTTGGCTTGTAGCTGCCTTCTTCCTGCATCCTCACATGGCCTTTTCTCTGTGTGCAGGCACTCCTATGTCTCTTCTTAGAAAGACCCCAGTCCTATTGGATCAGAGCCCCACCCTTATGACCTCATTTAATCTTAATTACCTCTCTAAAGTCCCTATCTCCAAATATAGTCACATTTTGGGTTAGGGCTACAACATACGAATTTGAGATGGTGGTGGGGTTACAGGGGGACACAGTACAGACCATAACAGGCTGAAAGGGGTTTTGGAGAACATTGTACCTTTCAGGGGCCATCTCGCATTACTTTTTTTTTTCCAGACCAGATGCTGTGAAAATACCATTTGAGTAATAAATTGCTATTTATATCTAGAAGAGTATACTCATGCACAGTTGTGTGTGTATGTAAGATATGTATTATACAAAATTTACCTTTCTAACCCAGATGAAATAAGGGGGAAATACCAGGCATAAGCTAGGGGCAAAGATGGTACCCAGACAGACCAATATCTATCAGTCCAGTGGGTCCAGAGTACAAGAGGTGATGGGCTGAGAAGTTCTGCAGACATGGAGGCTGGGCAGGGTACCACAGCCTGCACGTGGGATATGCCTGTTACGATCGGTAGAAAAGAACAGGGGAAAGTGCTGTTACAGTTGTCAAGGAAACAAGTGATGGGACTTGAAACAGTAGTGAGAGTGGAAAGAGATGCGAGGAGCAGGGGCTCCATAGGTGTCAGCTGACTAGATGTGGAGACTGGGAATGGGGATGGGAGAGGAGCTGAAGGTAGCTCAAGCCTACACCTGGTACCTGGAGGATGCCACCCCTTGACTGACACAGAAAATTGTGGGAGACACATTGAGCTTGAGGTACCTGCACACCACCTAAGCTGTGGGGACAACATAATTAGCAAGTAGGCCTGGCTCCTTATGAATGCAGGCTGGGCTTGGAGGCATAGATTCAGGAGCTTCACTCAGCATGATGGTCAGGAAAGCTTATATAGTTATGTAGCATAAGGAAAGATGGAGATCACAGAGGAACCCTAGAGAAAGTCTTTTGTTCAAGAGGCAAAAGAAGAAAGAAGTCAATGAGAGAGGCAGTATAACAAGAGGATTCAAGTAGAGGCTAATGGTCTGTAAGGTTGAATTATGCTGAGTTGAAATAGGATAATTGAGAAGAGACCTTTGAATTTGGCAGCTGATCAAATTCAAAGTCACGATGAACTTCAGGAGAGCAGTTTGTGCAGAGTGGTAGCCAGTCTGGAAACTGAATGAGAGCCAAGGAAGTGAAAGTGATGAGGGTTTCCTGTGCTTCAGGACTGTGAAGGGAATGAGAAAGAGAAGGTCAGGGAGGGAGATTACTTATTAAAGGATGGATGTAATGTGAGGATTTGTATATGATTAGTTGAGAGAAAAAACCAGGAGGGGGAGAGAGCACACTAGTGCCAACACTTAAAGATGACTGGGCTGGGATGAGAAGAGGAAAATAGGCACTAAGAAAACTTGCTGGAGGTGAGGTGTTTTGAGGTACAAAGGAGGAGTGGGAAGGTTTGTAACATCTCTTATGAGGGAGTTTGGAGACACTTAGGGTTCAAGGGAAGGGTTATAGAGCCACACTGAAGATTAGGGTAGTTGCCCCATTTCCTGACTTTTTCCAGCAGTAGCTTAGGGTCAAAAATAAATTGAATGCTGGATGAACCCACAGTTGAAGGCTGTCAGGGTGAGAATGGTAGAAGGCCAAGAAGGCGAAGGAAAATCCTTATTCTTTAGATTTTTTTGAGTTTTTGTTTGTTTTGTTTTGTTTTTACAGACATCAAAAGATTCAAGCAGTGTAAAAGTTTGTAGAATGTAATATAGAAGAAGAATCCTCACGCCTACTCTTTCTGCTCAGGAGCTGACGTATAATTTCTCTGACATCAGTGACTTGAATAAAGTTTGCAAAATGGGAAGAATAATAGCATCTAGCAGTTGGGTTATGAGGGTTATTGTCGGCACCATCAGAGCTCCACGGACTGGGTTCTGGGTGGAAGAAATGGTGAAGTGGAAACGGTGACAACTAGCAGAAATGACAGCTACCACGTGGCTCTCACAAGAAGTTTCAAGTTCATTCTGAAAGGAGGAAAGGAAGGGATAGCATAAGTGAGAGAATGAGTGAAATGAGTAATAGTGGTACTGAAATGGAAGGGGTGGGGACTCGAACAGTGAGAATTACTCCACTTGTCCATGTGTCTGATGGGTTTAAGGAGAGGATATTGCTTGACAGAATTGTAGGTGGGATGCAGAAAGGGTGAGTCTGGGCTTCTCTTAGAAGTTAAGAGAGGCACGATAGTTGTACTCTACAGATGCTAGGAGAAAGATTTATCTCCTGAGCTTGAGTTTCCAGATAATTGACATTTTGAAAAATTTGGAATTTAATGTTAGACTTCAGAGGCCTTAGCTATTCCATAAATATTTCTTAAATGCTGGGTTTGGGAATACAAGGGTAAACAAAACAAGAAAAATCTCACACTAATAGGAGGCTGGCTTTTTACAATAGAGTGCTAAAAGTGTTTCAGTAGGTTGTAGGAACAGTGCTTTGCGAAGTGGGGAGGATAAACAAATGTTCCAGCACTGCCCAGCACAGTCCACATTTCAAGAAGTGTTACTCAACAAAAGTAGGTAGAGACTTGTTATGTGGCAAACACTTTGCCAAGTGTTATGCTTGGATATATCTCCTACCTTAAGGAGCTCATGGTGAAGTAAAGAGTCAAATGAGATAATTAGCATACAGAAAGTTCAGGATGAGAGTAACTACTGGACATGATTGGAGTACTGAGGTTTGTGGAAATAAAGACGACTGAAACAAATGAGGTGGTTTATTCAGAGCTTGCTGTAACAAAGGCATCAGCCACTGTTGTACTTGGCAGACACTCAGAGGCAGGCAGGGGAGTGGGAAAGTTTTACAGTGAAAAAAAGAGTCATCAGGTGTGCTGAGATTGGAGGAGGTTGGGGTGCAGAGGAAGCTGGAAGCAGGCTAAGCAGGGTGTCTTATGTGGTTGGTTTGGGGAGCAAATTTGGCCGCCTGTGGTTGGTCCTGCATTGGGAGCGAAAAGGCAGGGGTGCAAAATACAGAAAAGCCACTGATCAAGTACTGACTGTTCCAGGCTAATTGCTGAACAGGTTGTGGGTCAGAGTTCTACTTAAAATGGTCTCTGATCATTGTCCGTTTTACATGCAGCCTCTGGTTGAGCACCCAGGATAGACTGTACAACCTGGATTAGGTTCCAACTGTTTCTAATAAGTAGCAGCATCATCGCCTCAAGCATATCTGTCTCTTCTTCTGGACTGGAAGCTCTTTGGGGTGGAACCTTAACTTGTCTTTATTTCCAGTGTTTGCCATATTGTCGGTGTTCAGTGGATATTTGTTGAATCTAAAGAACAGATAAAGGAAAGGCTGGGGAAACTTCAGAAAAGCATTCTCAAAGCAGTCGATTGTACCTGAGCTATAATGAGGTCATGGAGGTAACTCTGAAAAGCAAGGAAACATGTGAATACTGGTGCCTAGCTTGTTTGGGAACTGGAAGTGCTACCAGGTCAAAGGTATCAGCTGGATCAGGGTGTGAAAGTAGGAGAATAACTGGGTAGGAGGCTGAAAGAGAAAAAAGGCCATGTAGGTGCTAAATGATGATGGAGGTTTTATTGTATGCCAGAGTCCTTTATTTTATCTTGAAAGGCGTTTCCTTTGAGGAATTTAAAATCCTTGCCAAAGATTGTTGGCAAGAGAGTGACATAATCAAGTATACATTTTAGTAAATTGCTCTAGATGCCACATGGGGATGGTTGTAGAGAGATGGAAAATTGGCCTCAAAATAGTTTGGGAGAGAAGATGGGGCTTAAACCAAGGTGGAACGGAGAGGAGAGATTAAGACGAGAGATGTTTGTTTCTTGGACTCTGTAGGATTTGATGATTTTGAAGGGGTGGATGTAAGGAGAGACACGAGTCAGGGATGATGTCTGGCTTTTATAATTGGCAACTGGGAAGCTGTTAATGCCATTCACAGGAGAAGCAGGCTCAATAGGAGAGTAAAACCGAGAGATTCGATCTGACAGATTTTAAAAGGATAGCTGGTTGCTGTTAAAATAGATTGGGGAATGGAGTGGAGTGGAGGCTGCAGTAGCAAATAGTTTTCCAGGGCTCGTGAGAGACCTAGGATGGTGGTATAAATTTCCATATCACCGTTATATATGTCGTGGGAACGCTCGAAGTCCTTTTTTGGAACTAAGTGGGTACTTTTAAGAGGGTAGTTGAAACTCCAAAAGAGTGATTGAAATCGCTCAGAGAGGTGAACTCGCTTTGCGAGTAGTGAAGCCCAACAAAC